CCATGGGCTGAGCCCCGAGTTCCCAATGCAGCTACAGCCTCGAGCACCTGGTTAGGAGCACGCTGGTGCGAGCCAGGCATCCCGGCACTCCCCTGGATCTGCCCAGTAAGGCCCAATTAAAGAACAGGGCGTTAGCACATGGCTGAGGTTAAAGACATGCTCGCATGTTGTTTTGGATCAGGGCCTGGGGGGCAGGCTCAGCCAGCCTAACTTCCACCTTGGTTTCTGTGTCTGGTGTTTGCTAATGGAGAGCTCTCAGTCTTCAGGGTATTGAACCAGTAAAAAAAAAAACACTGCACACAGAGACCAATATTGATACAAGCCTCGAGGCAGAATCTAATCCACAGCCCGCTCAAAAATGGGCAAAACCTGATTGCCTTCAACAGGCTGCAGAGGAGTTACAGCTCTGTACGTGGGTGTTTGCAGCCTCGACACCTGCAGTGCCCTCTTGCTTTCAGTGCCAGGCTAAGAAATTAAATTATTCATCTCATGCTTGGAAGCTGCCTGGACAGTTCAGCAGAGAATCAGCAAAAGAAACTTTCATAGCGTGGATGTCAAAAACATCCTTTAAAGGACAAATTAAATCATGAGTTATTCTCAAAAGGCAGGACTTGCTCCTTGCTCACACAGTGCCACGGCTTGGCTGACACGGTGACTCTTCCTAAGCCAGCCTGCGTTATGCTCTGGTAAAAGGTGGGATAGTATTGACATTGATACAGTTTGATAGATTTTTAATTAGAAAGAGAAATAAACAGATGTAGGAATTTTTGTCTGTTTCTTTCAGGATAGTTTTTCCGCAGGCTTTTTGAATTATATGTCAAAGTCCTCGGGAGCTCATGACAGGGTCTGAAACACAAGCAGAAAGGAAACTGTCCTTCCCTAAACATGTCTTTCCCTGTCTCACATTAGCGCTCAGTCTTTCACTGGGAAAACATTGCTTTGTGTGTTACTGCAACAGCATGGAGAGTGGTGAGCAGAACTGGGTTAAAAATATACATCTAAGTCAGGAAGCCCCTTGCTGGAAGAGCTTATTTGGCTCTTAAAACCCCAAAAAGTTTTCCGTATGAACTAAACCGATGCAAATTGAAGTTATGTCCTGGTACAAATTGCATCTGTCCTGGGTTGAAATGTCATCTGAGGTCTGACCCTAAGGTCTGACCTGGAGAGTCAAATTTGCCAGCCAGTGATGACATTTCCACACTGATTTGGGAATTGCACAGGAAAAGATGTTTTCTGTGATCTGTTGATGCTCACTGCATCTAGAGCCAGGAGACTCCAGGCCAATTAGACCAACAGAAAATGGATGCAGCAGTCACGGAGACCTCCAGGTCTGCTAGCGAGATGGCAGCTCTTGAAGCACAAAAATATACGAGACTCAAACACAGCCCCAGATGTAAAAGGAAGGTTTGCGTTGTTGCTTTTTCATCATGGTTTGGGTTGTCTATCATCTCTCTTCTGAAGACGGGATGGAAAAGAAGTTTTCTATTTTCTTGTCATCTGGCCTTGTCCAGCCAGTGTTGTAGCAACGTCTGCTTGGAAGATCCTTTATTCCTACGTGGCAAATGTTCAGTGCCATGTTACACTCACAGGACTTTAATCAGCTGGAGAACATGGCTAGCTTCCGTTTTCTAAACCTGCTGTTGGTAAATGCCCCGTGAAATGACTTCACTGCGTTATTATTGTTCCTGGAGAAAGCTAGCCCAACGGCTGGTAATTAAACCTTTGGCTGATGGAAACTGTTAAAATGGATTGCAGCTTTGCCTATAGCGTTATAGTTAACAACTCAAAAGTCTTTATACTTTTTCTATAAAACACATGGGAGTTTTATACCTGGAATATCTGCAGCAATAAAGCAAATATGGTGCTTCATTTTTGTTTGTAGCATTGGAACTTGGAAGAGAAGAAAGAACTAAGGTTCAAGAATGAGATCTGGCATTTGTACTTCGCGGAGCACATTCAGTTGATATCTGTGGGTTTGGTACAGCCCATTACAGTGAATTAGATACCAGGACAGATTTAGATTCCCGATTCCTATACAGGCGTCTAAAAGGGAATTAGGTGCCTACACCTTGTTGCAGGCCAACCCTTGTTGGGCTGGCCAATACAGATTCATTGTAAAATTCAAGCTGACACCTGGTTCTGCCATCTAGACTCCCTGGAGTTTGAGAGCATTTGAGTCAAGGTTGGATTATGGTTCTTGTTCAGATCTCTTCTGTGCTCGGTCAGGTTTCCTGGAGGAAGCCATAATCCCGTCTGAAGGGCCACTCGGCACCCTCAGCCCCAGGCTCACCCAGGAAGGACCTCCCGGTCAGCACTGAGAGAATCGAGATAATCACACTCCCCTTCTCCTCCGCTGGATGCCTGCGACGCCTCTGCTCGGTATCAAGGCCTACAGCTAAGCTGTGGGTGAAAAGTGGTGGCACTTCTGTTCCCCAAAGGCACTCAGCCAAATCCAATCAGAAACACTGAACGCTTGCCAGCAAGTGGCAGCTCAGGACTTCTTCTCCTCTGACCAGGGCTGGTATTTATGGGACGTGTTAGTCACGCAGGAGCTGTTAAAAGTGCTGCTGAGATAAATTGCAAAGTCATACACGGTCATCGAGTTATGAGTTTGCTCTGAGAGATAGCAATACTTCAGAGCTTGACTAATCCCTTACAGATTGGAAACGGGGAGGGATGTGGTTAGGCACTGAAAACGTCCCCGTTTTATTGCCGATGATGTATTATTTAAGCCTCCAGTCCTCTGGCTGGCTTCAGCTAAGCCTGGGGCTCATGCCCTTGTGTTCCAGCTGGCTTTCTCCTGGTGGAAAGTAAGCTTGTCTGCAAGACCTCCGATAGGCTTAGAGTAGCCACAAGAATTTGGGCTGGATGGAAAAAAATGCTTGTTTTCATGGCTACTGAGAGAATATTGCTCTACGTTGCAGGATCTTTTCCTTTTATACCTAAGGAGGGAAGTATGTGTGTGCACCCTTGTGCATAACGGTCAAAGCAGACCTTCAGAAACATCAGCATGGACAAAATAGTACTTTTCCTTGCTGATTTCCTCACCGTGGTGTCACCGTAACTTATTAAAGCACATCGGCACCTAGCCGTGCAGGTGTCCCTGCCTCATAGCTCCCTTACTATACAGGTCCCAAAGACGTGCTCTGTATACCCTGCAAACGCAGCTTCAGATGCACCGGAGCAGGTATCTCACCTACTCTTTTAACTACCTAATTACAAATTATAAACGACCAGGGGGTCGCGGTGACGGTCCTTGAACCTTGCTTTATTTGGGAGCGGCTCCTCCTCTTCATTGATGCCTAATTAGCTGGGCCCCACTGAGCTCTTTACGGCGTTACGTTCCTAGGAGCTGCTGGCAGGCGCCCCATG